AATAAAAATTAAAATTAAAAACAATAAAAATTTATTTTTAAAAGACAGATTTTTGTGGTTATCATAATAGAAATTATATTTTGTACAATATAGTATGTAGCAATCACTTTATGAGAGATAACTGAAAATGTGAATGTTAATGAGCAATATGAAGTCTTATGTTACTAGTTTACTGTTTATCTCAATTCTTTTATTTCCTGTTTTATATTAATAATACTTTCTGTAAAATATCTGCTATCAAGTATGGCCTTACCAACCCAGAGGTCAACTTCTCTCTCCCAATGAGCCCTGAGCGCTGTTTCTCTTCAGGAGTGCTACTGTTGACACAGTAAGCTCAGGAGGAACTTGGATCAAAGGGACACCAGAAGTCACTGTGGACCTAGCTGTCACTTCCTTCTCACTAATGCTGTTTTAACTCAAACAACCACAGGAAGGTCAGCTTAGCAGAAAACTAATCTGACTCCTGATCAGTTGATTATATGGGAAATCTCCTTTAGAATATATCCCATATAGCAATTTGTGTCCCATATGTGTCCCATACATGTTGACATTGGGTCATAGGACCTTTTTTGTATTTAAAATAGTGAAAAGGAGCGCATGATTAGAGAATTCACTGCTATGCAATATTCTACAGCTCCTCAGCACTGAACACTGCCAGATAAATGAGACGAGTTTTCTTGGCTCTCCACTATTATTTTCAGTGAACTGCTGGTGCAGTGTATGATTCCCAGCTGCATAACTTAAGGTATTGGTGTGGTTGGATTGTTTTTCCTTTAGAAATGACCATTCTGAAGAAAACTTGAGGATTTTACTGAGATGGGAGATAGCATAAACCAGATCATTTTGAATTATTTTAGAGGACCTTCAACGAAAGGAATTATCATATTTGCTAGATAAAATAACTAGTTGTCTTGGGGATAAAGTTAGTTTTTACCGAGGTGTTTGATGAATTTTCTAGAATACTCTATTTCCAGAAATTGCTTGAATATTCTCTGCAATATTTGCAGGTATGTTTTCTTGATTTCAGATCTTTGGAGTGATGCGAAAGGTACAGTATTATCAAAATGCCCAGGTGTAGGACAGATGTCATTATAGTTCAAATAATGCAGGGGTGGGGATGGTTAAATAACATTCAGTCCCCACCTTTAATTCATTTTTAAGCAAATTTAATCCATTTCTTATTTTTTAAAGTTTTATTTTATATCAACATATATGTATCAGGGTTTTGCCTGTGTGTATGTAACTGCATCACATGCATGCCTGGTGCCTATGGAGGCTAAAATAATGCATTAGATCCCCTGGGACTGGAGTTTTGGATGCTTGAGAGCTGCCATGGACACAGAGCCAAACTCAGTAACCGTGCAACAGCAACCGGTCCTCTTACCTGCTGAACCAGCCATCTCTCCAGCCTTGACATCTTCGGATTGTTTCTTTATTTTTATTTCTTTTTTTTTAGGTAACCTCTATATCCTTTAGCCTTAATATTAGAAGATTCAGTAATAGAAATTATCTTCCTTTGTCTTCATGCAGTGTTCAACATTATGATACTATTTGTTAAACTTTTGACTTTCTATGGGAATAGATTATTGGTATCCAGCAGTAATTATGTTTCTATGTTGAAATGTCTTTGGTTTGTTTTCTCTCATCTTGGTCTCTGTCTCTGGTTCTCCCTCTCTCTGGTTGGTAGGTGGGTGGGTGGGGCTCTCCTTCTTGGGAGGACCAAAGGACAACCTCTGAGATTATTCTTTTGGTATCATCCACCTTGTTTTTGAGACACAGTGCACCACAGGCTTAGATTACTTAGCAGCTGTGTTGTCAACCCCTGATGTCAGCCTGGCTGTCCCTCTGGAGTGCTGAGATTACAAGTACAAGCAGCCACGCTGGGATCTTATAGAAATTAAACTTGTGATTACAGGGCAAGCACTTTACTGATGGAGCCCTCTCCCCAGCCTTGACTTGATCTTTGTAATGATCTGATGTAATTATAGAATTCTGTTTCTCTTATATTCCTAGAGTCATGTTACATGGGCTGGGAGCTTTATTGTCTTTGTTCATTTCATATTTTTTTTATCACATTACACCATGATCATCACTGTATCTTGTCTTCTAAAAAAATGTCCTCTTCCCTACTTCTTTTCTTTTTTCTATTTCTTTTTCTTTCTAGAACAGGTTCTCGTGTCACCCTGTCTGGCCTGGAATTCATAAAGACTTACTAGTTTCTGCCTCCTGAATACCTGGATTAAAGGAGTGTGCCACCAGTCCAGCCAGATTAGTTTTGACACTTCCCTGACCCCAGACCTTCACTGACTCCTTTTTGCCTGTGTAATATGATGTTTGTCACTCATCTTTTCTGTTGATGGTGTCTCTCTCTGTCCTACATATATCCCACTGACCCTGGGTTGGTTATTGCTCTTCAAGTTGCTTTATAATTCCTGATATTAAGGTTTTGTCTGTGTCAGTCTCCTCTTTAACATGTCATCCCTCCAGGCTCGATCCCGCCTATCCTTTATAAGACCTGTGCCTAATACCACAGGCAGCATGTGTCTTTTCTGATCCAGCTTTTAGTTTCAGAATAATATTGCCTTAGTTGGATCTCCATTTCCAGCAAGATTGTAGTAATCTGTTATGATGTTTGAGACATCCATTGACAAATGGAGAGGTGAATTCAAATCCCTAAAAGCAAGTTAAGCCCCTTGGTTAGTATCCCAGCTGTATTCTCGGCTCTCTGTTGTACTTCATGTCTGGTTAAGGATGGCCTTTACTATTCTTTATACATTAGATTCCAGCTCACTAGAAGGGTATTTAGGTTTTTGTTTCCAGTATTCAGCATAAGGAGAGTTGGACTCCTGTGGCTCTTTCCATTCTGTACTTTTCTACTATGTGATCCATGTGAGTAGGACTTCCTCGGAATTCCTGACAATTCTGTGACAATTCTTTGTCAAAGCACCAATCACATATATTAAAATTGCCTTGTTTCTTGTTTGTTTGTTTGTCACATGTAACTTCTCTATAGGATGACGAGTCTGTTGTTTGTTCTTTTTTACTTAATTGTATATGCTTATTTTTACATTTGCTCCTGGTGTTCCGTATGAGCCAAGTCAAGGTTTATTTGGGGCATTGGTCCTTCATCAGTGCACAGAGCAAAGCAAAACAAACACTGCCTCAGATAGTGGTTCTGTCTAGGATGTTAAATTTGTGGGAGTCACTGTGTACATGGAACAAAGTGATTGATGGAGTTCCTCAAATGAGTTCATAAGCCCTAGAGTTTCTGTGTCCCCTCATGTATACTGTTAGTTTTCAAACAAATATGTGTGTCATTTTTGACTGAATTTTTTTGGGGGCTGGGAATGTACCTCTGTGATAGGAAGGTTACCTACCATGTTTAAGGTTCTAAGTTCATCCCAAACACCAGTAAAAGTATAAATACAGTGGGAAGGTGTTAAGGAATCTTCTGGCCAACTTTCATATTGTATAGTTTTGTTTTGTTTTTTAAGAAACTCAACACTTTCACGCTTATTCATTTTATGAACAGTGGCCAGGACCAGTCTTTGTGGTTGAGTGAGATGAGTCAAGGAGGTTGTTCCAATCTCTGTTGAATTTTAACGTTACAGTATATTGTGTCCTGAGAGATGACTTTCAATCTTAAGTTAGTTCTTTCTATTTCCTAGTGGAAGAAAGATAAATCTAGAACTGGAAAGCTAATTCCTAGGATAGTCCTTTTATTTATTTAGAAACCTAAGACCCTTCCTAAATTCCTAAGTAAATAAATGTGAGGAGAGATTTGTTTATGCAAATTTGACATTAGAGGAAATGTTGATTCCTGGTAAAACTGATAAGGGATATGAGACATCCATGGGAAAAGGAGAAAACAAGTTAGCAATTAGGTTTGGTATATTCACTTTAAAATCAGGTTGCTTTAAATTTTATGTCTGTATTAGGTTTTAGAGCACATGGCACACCAAAATGCTCTTTAAAGTTAGCATAGTAAATAAACATTCTTTTAAAACTACTTTTATTTAGGGAATAAATTTTTCCAGTATCTTTAACATGAATGGCATTTGATTCTGCTCAGTTGAAGCTTAAAATAGAAGAAGAGTAAAATACAATTTGCTTCTTTTCAGGAAATCCTATCTTGAGTTTAAAGGCTCCTCACCTCCTCCTCGATTAGCACCCATACTGGCCTTCATCCTCCAGCTCTTCAGGGACACCAGCATGGGTGTTTGTGACCTTGAGCTACTCCTTCCTGCCATCTTAAAATGTCTGGTGTTGGTCAGTGAACTTCAAGGTTAGTTGGCTCAGTCTTGATTTTGTCAGCATTTTCTGCATACAAGTTAAACAACTGTCCTTTACCATGGATTAAACTCATAGCTGTACATGGCTCATGGTTATTTTCCATCTTTGGTATGTTTCATGGCTAAAGAGTCAAATAGCAGACAGTAGCTGGGGTGGGGAAAATGGTCAAATATTGGCACATTTCAGTCTATTTTAGTTCAGGGGTTTTGGGTTTTGTACCATCCACCCTCCTTGAGGCAAGTAGTTTATTTATGGGTTACTTTCTTTAATTAGGCTTTTTTAATGTCTCAAAAAAAATACCATTTGTGCTGACTTACTCTGTTATGACATGAGATGGGAGTATGATCTCTCCTCTTATTTTTCTGCTGGAATATCTAGCCATTTGGGACAGAACTGGGAGGCTCCTTTGAGCTTAGCTCACTTCCTTTTAGTCTCATCAGCTGAGCTAACCTTGACTGATGATGACTCTGAAGTGTGATCTCCAGTCCCCACTGTAATGAGCTTTAGTTAGCTGTGGAGAGTTCAGAGCAGGAGGCTTGGTTCTGTCTTGACTCCTTAATAGGCAGTCAGCCCCTGTGTTTCTTGCTTTTGTGCAGAGGGTGTGTGTGCGTGTGTTGTGTGTGTGTGTTTGTGTAGGGGGTGGGTGTATGTGGGGGTAGTGGTGAGGGGGTGTGTCTGTGTTGCTATAATGTGATTGCCTTTTAGCTGCTAAGGTGAGTGTGGAGTAGGCTCTGAGGAATGCCAGGACAGTGTCCAAAGTGGTGGTGGAAAGCTCAGATGATGTCTGACATGTTCTGTCTTTTCTCAGAAATTTATGCTGTTTTCTAATCGACATTTATTTCAGTGTTTGAAACACCCTTGTCTGCTTTCAGTCTGAGTCTGGGAAGAGTGATCTGTTTGAGCCTGGGAAGAGTGGTCTGTTCCATTTCTGTATCCAACTATCACTTGGCAGGAGGATGTGCCCTGTGGTGGCTCCAGAGAAAACTGGCTCTTTAGGAACATTGCCCTTGTTAATCTTCCACATGTTCAAGTGCGGTGAAAGCCTTGCATTTCATCATTCCAGATTTCCTTACCCAGAGCAGACAACACGGAGTTGTCATGTAGCAATGGTTTTGTTTCCTGTGGTTTCCCCCTGCATGTTATTAACAGTGGATCAACAATACTAAATGGGAAATTCTAGAAGTTATAGTTCATAAGTTTTAAATTGTATACCATTTTGAGTAGCTTTATCCTGATGGGATTCCACCAGCTCTCAGAAAACTGTCTCTAAGACAGAAGTAGATAAGCTTCCTTATCTATCGCAAAGCAGGTGATATTGGCAGGGTAGGGTTTCTTTCTGAGATGACAAAAGTAGTGTGAAACCTGACTTTGATTATAATACTAAGAATCCTTGCACTGTATGTGAGGCATCTGCTTCCACACTTCAAGTCATGTAAACTGTGACAAGTCAAGGTGTTAGTTTGAAACAAATGTGAATACTCAGTTTGAAGACACTACATTTAGAGGGTCCCAAATAAGAGTCACACGGCGTCAGGAGCATCCTAAGTTTTCCACATACTTTGCTCAGGTCTGTGTTAGTCAGCTTCACATTACCTTAACAAACCAGCTTAAAGTGCAGGAAGGCTTGCTTGCCTCCATTTTATAAACTTCATTACATCATCAGCTGACCCCCTCACTTCCCCACTTGTATATAATATATATACATTATATACAAGTTTGTGGTGAAGTGATAATCAGAAACTGCTGGCCTGCGGCAGTGGGAACAGTAGAGGAAGAGGCACACTTTCCTCCATAGCATCTTGGACTGGCAATCCAGCATTTAACACATGCGCCTGTGGCACATTTAAATCACAGCAGTATTTTTTACTGCATGTACAAAGATGCTGCTTTAAGAATTTACTTAAGGTGTCAATATTGCTCCCGCCAACATGGTGAATGTTCCTAAGACCCGCTGGACGTTCTGCAAGAAATGTGGCAAGCACCAGCCCCATAAAGTGACACAGTACAAGAAGGGCAAGGACTCTTTGTATGCCCAGGGAAAGCGGCGTTATGACAGGAAACAGAGTGGCTATGGTGGGCAGACTAAGCCTATTTTCCGAAAAAAGGCTAAAACTACAAAGAAGATTGTACTGAGGCTTGAGTGTGTTGAGCCCAACTGCAGATCTAAGTGGATGCTGGCTATTAAGAGATGCAAGCATTTTGAACTGGGAGGCAATAAGAAGAGAAAGGGCCAAATGATCCAGTTCTAAGCTGCTCTTGTTATGAAAACAATAAAATCACAATAAAAGTTTAAATAAATAATTAATACAAATATTTGGGTACTTTTAAGCAAATGAACATCTAGGTTGCTTCTTAAGGACTTGTAAGGGTTGGAAGATATGTGCCTGTGAATTTAAAAATATAATCAATATGCCTGTCTACAAATCCATGTCTTTTAAAAAGATCTCTTGTCTGTATGCACCTGTTTGTAAGATTAGGGTGGGAAGGGATTTTGAATTTGGACACCTTTCTGAAGGGAAAACATATCTTGGTATGCATTATCTCAGCTTTGAGATTCAAAATAGATTTTTAAACTTCCTGGGTATGCTTCAGAACAAAACAAACTTGTAACTATTTTATTTTAAAAACTTACAAAAAGCATGTACCTACTTGAAGAAAACACCGTATTTTTCTAAATCAAGAGTGTGAGAAATGAGGATCCAGATGGTCAGTTCAGACACACTGTGTAATGCTATCATTTTCTCCTAGTTAAAAAGCTGGCCACAGAGAACCTGCAATGCATGATAAAAACCTGCCAAGTGGGGTCAGAAGGAGAACTTGCCACCCAGCTGACTTCTCTGTTGAGGTAACTGGAAAACATGCCAACTGGCAAGGAGAGGGTTGCCAGCCATTTGACAGCCAACATGCCTTTTAAATAACTAATTATCCAAAACATAATGTGTTACTACTTGTTTACAGTGTTTCAATTATAGTATTTGGGGCAGTGGTTTGGTTACATTGTGTTGCTTTATTGAAAAATAAAAGTACCAAGGAAAACAGTTAAGTTAACAGACTTGAAATTACTTGTGTCTTGGTTGAGAAAGAATCTTGAATGTGCTAAGAAGAAAAAGTGAGACACATATGTCTGGAAAACAGGTATACAGGCTTTCGGAACTAGCTTAGATCTGCCTTCAGGATGCTCAGCTTGTCCTTGGGCTTTTGACTTTAAACTTTTGCTTTAAACACTGAAGCTTCAAAATGCTTGTTTTGGGAAACATGGACTGTATAGGGTAGAAGATACACTCAGCCACACTCCCAGGACCCTGCTTTATCCTTGTAGAGTCTTCTATTAGGGTAATTTCTTTGTGCTTTTTTTTTCTCAAGGTCTCTACCAGCTTGCTTTGCATCACATATCCCTACCTTACCACCATACAATGTGTGATTTGAGGTGTGTTTCTTTTGTTCTGTGTTGTTTCTTCCTCCCATCACATAATTGGCACTTGTCCGCTGTTTCCAATTTCTTTCAGTTTTGATCACTTTATGCTAGTGTGTTCGTGAAAATTCCAAAGCCTTGGGAGGAAAGAAAAGAATCTTGGTTATATATAATTTATCAGGTTAAATGACTTTCATTATACTGATTAGGGAGTGTGGAAATTTTAGTGGGAAAATATATTTTTATTTATAAAGAATTCCTATTCATAATGTCTTGTTCATTTAAAACATGTAAATATGTTATGAATAACTTAACTTCCTGTCCTTATAACTATGTTGACTAATACAGACATATGATGCACTGAACAATAACTAGCAAACTAGATCTTGTGTGCTGGCTTTCACACTCCTCCAGTTACAGTCTGAAGTAGAGAATATCATGAGAAATCCTTGAAATTAGATTTTTTTTACCCCACCTGGTTCTCCCTCTTATCATTTTTCTGTTCTCTGAGGGACAACAAGTTGGGTATCATGACACACACCTATAATCCCAGCATTGAAGGTAACTGAGGCAAAAAGATGGTGAGTTCAAGGTCAAGCCCGACAACATCAAACTACCCCACCCCCGAAAGTTAAGAAAGAAACAAGCAAGCCTTGCCAGCAGTCTGCTTGTAGAGTCTTTCCTCAATCTTAATGAAATGATCCTGCTGTGTTCAGGTTGAAGGTGATTATAATGTACATAACTGGCCCAAGGAGTTGTCTCACATTGGTTTTTAAATTGCCTGTTGTACTTGCAGGCAGTTCATCCAGGACTATGGTATGCAATACAGTTACCAAGTGTATAACATCCTCGAGACAGTAGCAACCCTGAATCAGCACATTGTCACCCACTTGATTCCTACCCTCACTCAGTCTCTGAAGGATTCAGAGCTCAAATGGGGCCTTGGCAGAAACATCGCCCAAAGGTATGTCTGATAATTGTACTATTTTGAGTATCATACAATCCATGTTTTCTCGTTATTACAATAGCTTATTTCCTATTTAGGAAAATAGGGTATTTTCTTTTGAGATGAGAAATGCTTCTACATTGTCAGTTGTATAATGCCTACCCAAGTAGACAGTAGAATGGCTTTGCAGAGGTTACCCATCATTTCCATGTTCCTGCACACATGGCCACCTCAAATCTGCACACCTCACTGGTGCTTATCTTTTCAAAGCAGTGTCCTTAGGGAGAGATGGATTTCAGAGCTTCAGGTGACTTGTCATGTAAAACCCATATTGATTATGACATTAGCTAACTCATGGAGTCCACCTTTGCAGTACAGTAAATGAAAAGGCATACTCTCGAAAACGCTGCTGACTTAGCTTCTGAGCACTTTTCGTGGAAAGACTGGAGGCTTTTGTGGCCATGCATGTTCACAAAAGAGTTGGTTTCAGAGATTCACAATCCCATCCGTACTTAGCCTAATGAAAGAATGTCATGGCAGAATATTTCAAATGCCAGGTACTTTGTGAATGAACCATGAAATTTGGTCACCGTAGACCCTGCCTCTGCCTTCCCTCTCTTCTTACCCTGTTGGAGCCAGGCTCCAGGATTAGCATGGCTTACCTGTTTCTCTACCTACATGAACCCACTCCTTTCTGTAAAGAAAAAAAAAAAATCTCAAATACCAGAAGTACAGAATGCTAGAAACAGCATTGTATTTCCAAGCTGCTATCCAAGTAAGAAGAAGGTAAGGAGTAAAGAAGAAAACAGGGCTTGTGCTGGTATTGTGACACTGGTCTCTATTCTGGCTGTAACACATAACTGTTCTGTGTTTTTGTTGGTGAAACATCTTCTTATTGTAATCATGCCATCATTATCTTTAAGCAGTGTGCCATGAGCACATTTGTTACAGATAGACATTATATTAATTCAGATGGTTAATAATCATTTAACCTTCATTGTGTGTGTGTGAGTCATACTAAGTTTACTCCTTAGATACATGAAGCACTATTTTTAAGTGTTGTGCCAAATCTGCTAGATGGGTTAATAGACATTTATAAATACTTAAGTGTTTTTTTTTTTTTTTCCTTACACAGGGAAGCATATAGCAAACTTTTATCTCACCTAGGCCAGGTGGGACAGGATGAGAAGCAGAGACTGGAAAGTGACAAAACATGATGAAGCCATGGCACAGACTTCCTGTCTGCAACAACGCTAAAGCTGCTTTGTGCCACCCCAGCTGGGGCTTTAATTAATTGTGTAATGTCATATCACAAATAATTTCCTTTTACCTGCATGTATAAAGTATATAAATAAGGAATAAAGGCTAATTAGTAACTGTATAATAGGATCCTGGAATGTTGTAAAACTCTGCTCTATCTTGAAGAGATTTTTAACTAAATTAAAGACTTTTCAAACCAGAACAGCTTTCTGTGAATGAGTCTTATCCAGTTTGTACCGGTACTCTGTTGAGTTGCTGGTTTGTTCTGTTAACTTTCACATCTTTATTATTTTTTATCATACTCTTCCTTATCCCCCCCTCCCCCCAAGTTACCTTACTGGCCTGTTCTGTTTTACTGTTGAAGGGAAAGTGAGTATAAGGATATTGGCTATGTATGTGTTTCCATTGTTATAAAGCAATGTTAGCAAATAAAACCTTACAGTAATTGTAAGTAGTAAATAAAGGTGTACATAACTCTTAGGACTCATCACTGGTTCGATTGGAGGATTACACCCACCATTTATTTTAAAGTTTTAAAAGTATATCAACAGTAGTTATGTGGACATTCTATAGATAGCTAGATTTTTCTTTATTCATCTTCCAGAATTGTCCTTAAAATGCTTATCAAGGGAGAGGAAATACAGAGACTTTGGAGAAATAATTAATATTCTGGAAGCTTCTCAAAACTATTAGTAAAAGAGAAGTCTGGTCTCTTTCTCTTCTGTGTTCTGTCTGCCTGCCTCTCTCATGTCCCACTCTAACAGGGCCTTTTGCTCCCCCCACATCCCCAACAAACCTCTAAAAAAAAGTTCTCCTTTCTCTTATGACTTAATATCTTATGAAGGCTGCACACTTTACCTGCTGGGCATTGTCCTTCTTTGGCTCCTCTGTTTAGCTGTCTTATGGATGCTCTACACTTTACTTTCTGAGCCTTGTCCAGGCTCATTTCTGTGGTGAGCATCACTAAACACAGAGTTCCATCCAGTGCTGCAGTTAAGAACCTGCATTAGGTAAGCAGGAGGTTTCCTAACTCCATGGACAAAAGAGATGACAAATCCATGAGTAATACATGTAAACGTAGTTTTACTTTACAGACAGGGTTACTGTGTATTCATAACATAGAAGGGAAGTATGTGTGGTGGTTTGAATGACAGTGTCCCCTCTAGGCTCATGTATTTGAACGCTTGGTCCCCAGTAAGGAGGTTTAAGAGATGTGGTCTTGATTGAGAAAGTATGTCCCTAGAAGGGGCTTTGGGGTTTAAAGATTTACGCCACCTCAGTAAGGGTTCTCTGCTTCCTCAGCGCCCTTCTCTGCTGCCATGCCTCCCCTTTCATGGGCTTAGCCCTCTGGAACTATAATCCAAAACAAACTCCCTTCCTTAAGCTGCCCTTTCTCATAGTGTTCACCACAGCAACAGTGCCTTTCAATATTGCTTTTGTTGTTGTTGTTAGAAATTATAAAAGGCATTCCAAAAAAACCCTTGTGGTTGTTGTTCTTTACATGTTTTAACTTTGAAGTGATTTGTTTCCTTTTGGGGACTGTGACTTTTATTATTGTTCTGGTGTTCCCTTGGAAAAACATTTCATGCTTCTAACTCAAAAGGAAATACTGAGGGTGTAGCTCACTTGTAGAATACTTGGCCATCATGCAGCAGGGCCTTGGATTGAGTCCCCGGTAAACAAAAAAGTAATGATGTTTTACAAAAGTTAAAAAGTTTGTTTACAATGCAGTCAGCATTCTTTAGTGAGTGCCTTCCCAGTTCTAATCTCTGAAATCCAAATATGTGTTACATTTATAATTGTCAAATGGTGATTTTTTTTTTCTCCCCAGATCACTTGTCATTACCTCTAACAAATGCTGTGTTGCACTGTTCCCTTCAGCAGCTAAAGCACTTTGACTTCTTGTCTTGGGTGAGAACCTATCCTCAGCCATCGCTATAACCCAAGCGTTCTCTAAGGCAACTCAAAAAGGCTTTTAAAGGGGTTGGCAATATAGCTCAATGCCAGAATGGTTTAGTGTGTGTGTTCTGTATCATAATGTACTGTAGCATAACATAACATGGCATGCCAGAGAGACCCAAGCCAAGGTAATTTGCAAAGGTATT